TGCCATGCAGTGCCATGCTGTGCCATACAGAGCTGTGCCATGCCATGCAGTGCCATGCTGTGCCATACAGAGCTGTGCCATGCCGTGCTGTGCTGCCCACCCCATGTCTGCACCCTCAGGGCTTCCTCAGCAGGGGCAGAGGGACCCCTGTGTGCCATGGGTGCAGCATCCCTCCGTGCCACCTGGAGCAGCAAGCTTCGGCTCAGTGCCAGGACAGGGAGCAGCACTGCAAGGATGCTCCAATCCCCAAAAACCACTTTAAATTTACTTTATATCTTTAAATGGTGGTGATAGTGATTATAAATGCCAACAGGTGTCCACTCGGAGCCCAGCCCCGCTGTGACAAGTGGCCCCAAAGACCCCTCCACATTAAAACTGCAACTGGAGTCCAGAAGCACCCGTGGTGGAAATCAACAACCTGATTAAAGGCTCATTGATTGTCCTAGCCTCATTAGCATATCATTAGCGCTGGCCCCTTGGCGGCCATGACCCAGGTGGATAAAAAAGCACGGCGCGTCAGGAGCAATGGGAAATCAGTATCCAGGGGAGGGGGCAAACCCCAGTTGTGGCACCCACCTCCTCACCCCACGGCCTTGGCCACGCACCAGGCATGGCTGTGCTGCTCCCTGGGCACACTTGGGCCCATGGGGCTGAGAGCACAGGGAAGGGAGGGCTGCTCGGGCAGCGCCGCCTCTGTGCCATCCGTTGTTTTTTGTGCGGTGAGTCAGGAGCCTCATATAGGATTCCCATCTGCGCCGTGCCAGGCTGCGCCAGACTGTGCTGTGGGCCCACGTCCAACTGCTGCTGATGAAGTGGTTGGGTTCGGTTGGTTGGATTTGGGTTTGTTTGCTATTTTGTTTTTGTTTTTGTTTTTGTTTTTTTTCCCCTATAACTTTTGCACACAGAAGAAGCAGGAGAGGAGCAAGGGTTCCTCCAAGCCCCTCCCAGAACCCCATGCTCAGAACGGGGATCCCCTTCAACACTGCACTGAGGGCATCGTGCAGTGTTTTCATAGAACCACAGAACTGTTTCAGTTGGAAAAACCCTTAAAGGCCCTCAGGTCCCACTCCCCACAGTGAACTGGGGGGAGCTCCACAGCTCCACCAGGTGCTCAGGGCCTCTCCTGACCTCAGGTGTCTGCAGGGATGGGGCACAACCACCTCTCTGGACCCCCTGTGCCAACACTTCCCTGTTCTTTTTCCTTATATCCAGCCTAAACCTCCCCTCTTTTAGTTCACAACTCTCGCCATGTCTGAGTGCTGGGGCTGACCCCATGCACGTCATGGCCCACGGCCAGCACACCATGCCTGGCTGCGGGGAAACAGATGTGGGTGCAAGGGATGTGCCTGAATCACAGCAGCACCCCCACACCCAGCACAGAATCACAGGATCATGGAATGGCTTGGGTTGGAGGGGACCTCGAGGATCATCAAGTTCCAACTCCCCTGACACGTGCAGGGCCACCAACCTCCATATCTAATACTGATACCAGCACTGTACAGGGATGATTACATGCAATCTGATGAATGCATAACACCTTACCACTGCCCCCTCTGTGTGCTCTTTGGGGAGGAGCTAGAAGCAGAAATGCATCTTGCAGGCAGTGGAGCTGCTTGAAGCCTCCTTCACTCCTCACCTCGAGTATTTATCTGCGTGCAGGTGGCTGCAGGCTCTCAGAGCAGAGCTTCTGCTGCTGCATGTCTCTTTCTGCTGACAATCAATCCAACCCAGCAGTCAGGCTCAGTGATCTCAGAGTTCCTTCCCAACCCGAACTGTTCTATGATAGGAAGCACAAAACTCAGTGCCTCCTATAGCATCTGTGCATCGAACCCAGCTGCACTCTGTCCATCACCTCCATGAAGCTGCCCTGAGCACCACCAGCTCCATGCATGTGGGTGCCCACATCACTGCTGGGCATTAGGGAAGAATTTCTTCTCCAGAGAGCGGTGCTGCATTGGCAGAGCTGCCCAGGGAGGGTGGGTTCCAGACCTGCAGAGATGCAGCATTTGGGGACACGGTCGGTGTGTTGGTGGTTGTGAGGGAACTCAGCAGTTCCAAGGGAAAACCAACAGGTGGGTGACAGAGAAAGGAGGCTGGGGACAATGAAAGGCAGCAGAGAACAGCAATGACAACACGGTACCGCTCTCTCCTCCAACTGCTCCTCTGGTCCCAGCAGTGTCTGCTGCGCTGCGCTCAGCTCGTGGTTCAGAACTCACAGCTGCTCAAGGAAAAGAAAAAAAATATATAGAAGGAAGCTCATGAATTATGGATCACACTGAGATCAATCCTTCAGCACCTGCCAGCCGTGCCCCATGGAGGAGAAAGCTCTCCCCCTTGTCCCCACTTTGTCCCCAGACCTTCAGCTGCCAGACACCGGTTGGTGGCACAGCTGTGCCCATTGGGTGCTGCTGGTCCCACGCACACTGGAGCCTCCAGCTCTATGATTGCTTACCTAATCTGCATATAATTCCACCAGATGTTACACAACACCATCATACTGTATGTGCTCACTGTGAGGGTCTCAGGTGGGATGGGGTCTCCAGTGGCTGTGATTCTGAGCATTGTAATGAAGACAGCTCAGTTAAGGAGGGGGTGAACCCCTCTGCTGACTGCTCCAGGCACGATGAGGAAATACATCTAGTTCACATATTTCCAGGATCTTTCTGTCATCAAGGTAAGCATCGTGGTCACACTGAAGGGGATGGACTCTTTAGTAGGGTCTGCTGGGGTAGGACACAGGGAGATGGCTGTGAACTAAAAGAGGGTTTAGAGTGGATATAAGGAAAAAAGGATGGGGATGTGCTGGCACAGGGCACCCAGAGAGGTGGTGATGATCCAGCCCTGCAGACACCTGAGGTCAGGGGAGGCTTTGAGCACCCATGAGCTGTGGGTGTCCTCATCCATTGCAGGGAGTGTGATCAGATGGGCTCCCTGCCCATCACTGTTCTCAAAATGCCACGGGGGGGATCTGCATTCAGTGCTTCCTGCTGAGCTGTGGCCTTTGGAGAACATCTGCTGAGCATGTCTGTCCACACCTGGGCATCGCCCCCTCCATCATTCTCTCGTTACCGATCACAGATTGATTTAATTCTAGTAGCCAATAGGTTTGCCTTTTAATTTTCAGGATCACGTTTAATCAAAGAGAGGTGGGTCCGGCCCCATCAAACCGCATCAAAATCCTCTGGGCCCCAGGTGAGCAAGAACACCCGCAGCAATTATCGATTTCCCTTTGTTCCAATTAATGCAGCAGTGCTGGGGCTGCACTGCAGGGCTCTGCCCAGGGTGTCCTCAGCCCAGTTCTACCAGCTGGTCCCAGATGCTGAGCTGGGAGGGGGCTGAATGGTTGGACAGACAGGAAAGGGACAGACGGACGGACGGAGAGAGAGCTGCCACGTGCCACTCACAGCACTCGGGGGAAGCAGGTGGCTTTGCTGGATGCAGAAAACTTCAGTTCTTGGAATGAACTTTGAATGCTGCCAAAAGCCGGGATGGGGGGGGGTTGGTGCTGGGCTGGTGGGCTGCCAGCACAGCTCAGCCCATGAGTCAGCAGCGTCAGCTCTCAGCTCACCGAGCAATCTGCAAATGGTGCAAAGCTGCTTTTCACAGTTCACCTCAGCTGCTAAATGGCCTCAGATTTACAACCAAGGCGTTCGCACTTGAAAACGGTCGAGTTAATGAAGGAGGGGAGGGAGGAAGGGAGGGGGGTCCACGAAATGCACCCATCCCAAGATGCCATCGCAGAGCTTGAGGCTGTTCCCCACCACGGAGGACCCTTCCTCCTCTCCTGAGATGGGGAGAAAGCACTGCACCCAGCGAGCAGTGAGCACTGTGCCACGCACAGCCCCAGCTCTGCTCTTCCCCTTTTCCCACAGATAGTGGGAATGTCGGCCCTGTGACAAGCCTTAATTCTAATGGTGTTTGCTCTTTTTTGAGATAATGTCATCTTAATGCTCTTGAACCGGCTGCTATTAATCTTGCACCGAAGATCATTATATGGGGGGAGGAGGGGAGCTGCCGCTCAGATTGATCAGGCACATTACAAAAAAGTGATGTGATTTATGTCTATATTACACCACATATTGGGATATTTCTTTAATATGGTCCCTGGGCAAATACAAGCATTTTGTTTGCACAGGATGTCATTAAATCCTGGTGGGAGAAACACCCCACGGCCTCTCCATGAGGCCTGAGCCTGCTTCTCTCTTTTTCTCCCCAAGCAGCTCCACGCTTCAGTCCCTCTCCCTGCACAACAGCACTGGTAGATGAGCGCTGAGCTCATCTCTCCTCATCCTGCATCCCAAATCCAACCCTGAATGCAGCCCCCACAGACACCCCACAGCGTGCCTCCTCCCCACGCCATCTCAAGGTCCCTATGCTGTCCCACTGTCCCCACGTTGTACTCTGAGACCCCACGCCATATTCAGTCTCCCCATACCATCCACAAAGTCCTTGTGCTGTACCCCATGTTCCCGTCACCAATGTCACCATGCTGCAATCTGTGTCCTTGTGCTACCCTCCAAGGCCCCTGTGCTGTCTCCAAGGTCCCCGTGCCATATCCAGTCTCCCCATGCCATTCCCAAGGTCCCCATGCTGTACCCCATGTCCCCATCGCCCAGGTCCCCATGCCATACACAGTGTCACCGTGCCATCCTCAAGGTCCCCGTGCTGCCCTCAGTGTCTTTGTGCCATCCAGAGTCCCCATGCCATACCCAGTGTCCCTGCGCTGTCCCCAAGGTCTCCATACCACACACCACGTCCCCATGCTGTAGCGTCAGCGCCATCCTCAGCATCTCCATCCCCAGTGCTCCCACATCATCTCCAGTGTTCTGACTGCTGTCCCCAGCGTCCCCGCCCCGAGGTTTCCATGCCATATCCCGTGTCCCTGTGCCATCCCCCACATCTCCATCTCTCAGGAGCACACAGCTCAGCACAGCACATGGGCAGAGGACGCCGGTGACGTCCTTGGAGGTGCTCTCCGGCCAGCAGTGGGACATCAACTCTTTGCCTGGAGCCATCTCTCACCTCTCGCTGCGTCAGGGGCTCACAGCTGCCTACCTTTGTTTTACTCAGCCTGAGAACACAGCTCCTCTTGTCCAAGAGCATCACCTCACGGGGGGTGACAGCATTCCCTGCAGGGACGGCTGCTGCGCTGCGCCCTGGGACCTGTCCAACATCCACCGAATGGAAAACTCCCATCCACATCAATCAACCCAAGATTACAAAGGGTTTTATAAAACCTGCACTACCTCAGGGATGAATGATAAAATACAACCCTTCTCAACATTTACATTTTAAAGAAATCCAGTTTTCCACGTCCCATAAATCCCAGCACTGTGTGGTTACAGAACACACCAGGCACGGCCCCGGCTTTGGGAACCCTCGTGGTCCCACTCTTCTCATGTGGATCTCACTAGGAAAAGGCACACATTTTGTTTTTAATACAGTGTTGAATCACCTCCCTTCCCCTCATCCTTAAGAAAACCTTTTATAAATGTTCTCAGATTAAAAATAAATGCTAATATTCTCACTGAGGTTTGAACACAGCTTCTGCACTCTCCTACCTCCGGAGTTTGCACTTCTCATTTCACACGTGTCCGTAACGACAGGGACCAAACCATGACAACAAAGGGGATCTGCAGAACTTCACAGCTCTCCTCTTTGGCGTGTCCTGTTAAATACTCATGGTTTACTTTCCCTGCGTTTCTCTGCAGCAGACAAATTTTAAATGTGAGGATCTAACCGTGTTGCCATTTGCCGTGGTTGTTGGCTCCAAAGGGTCTGCTTGGTGGGAAGAACATCTTCCATGGCACTGATGTGGCACTGAGGGATGTGCCCATGGGTGGTGGGTTGGGGATCTGAGCGCTCCTTCCCAACCTTAACAGTTCAGTGATTCTCAGCAGCACGTTCTCAGTGTGCGACCCTGACCATCTCATGTGCCACACTACAGCTTTTTCCTCTTCTTTCATCAGAGAAAAACAATAGTATGTGATGAGCTTTACGGACACACAGAAAAGCCAAACTGTACAACAAAAGATACTGGGTGCTGCAAAGGAATCCCCCTGAACTCCCTGCAGAGCTTCCCCACATTAACAAGAAGGAAACCTGGCGCCTTTGTTTGTTCCGATCATCTGATTTGAAAAGGGAAGAAGAAAAGATGACCTCAAGATCTCTCACAACTTCACAACACGTGCACATCCTGATAGGAACTAATTAGCTGTGATTCAAACCAGTTTCTGAGCTCCTCAAAGCAAGCTGGAAAACAATTCCAAGTGCTCGAAGGCAGCCGTGTTTCAGGGGTGCTGCCGACCCCATCCACACAAGGCTGCTTCTGAGCCTGTACCACAGCCAGGCGCAGGGAACCCAGCAGAGCAGCTGCTCTCCCATTTGTGCGCAGAACATCTCCTCTGAAGGACACCAGGTGAGATGAAGAGCTAAAGCCCTGCCCTGCTGTAGTGCATTAGTGATAAACTGGGGGAATTTGAGGCTCCTACGCCGCCTGCTTGGCTCAACCCCAAGCAAGAAAGCAGGTCCTGTACTAAGTTCAGGGGGGGAGGAGGGGGGAGAAGCCCAGGAAATGGATTAAGGTGCTAAACTCACTGCTAAAACCTGCACTGAAGGCAGCTCGAGGCTGATCTGTCACCCTGTTGCATGTATTTGAAGTAAATCTACAGCATGCCTCTGTAATAAGGCCACACAGGCAGAGGGCAATAGGAATGTGCAAAGTTTATGCTCAGCAGCCACTGAACCTCACAGCTCTTGTCCCAGTGAGAGCACGCGGGGCCACCTCACGGCTTGGGGCAAGGAGAGATGGGTTCCCTGCAGAGCCCAGGGGCAGAACAAGGGGTCCTGGCGCTGTGGGTGAGGCCTCAGCAGGCAGCACAGCTCCTTGGGGGTTTTTTTTTTTTGCTCATCTTTGCAGCTCACAAATCTGGGTGCAGCAGAACTGGCAGCTTCAAGACGAAGGTCCTCCACAAACGCCGTCTCCATCGATTCTCCACCAGTGCTCTCAAGACTCCGCGCTGCCTGAAAGCGCAGTGCCTAAGACATGAATGCAGAATCATTACCCGATGCAGAGCTCGAAGGCTTGGAGATAAATATCCTGCTATTTAAGCTGCACTTTTACCTTGAAAAGCAATTTGCAAGCGCGCAGAGCAGCACTGACAAGCCTCACGGAGCCGCGTGCAGCGAGGCTGCGGTGCCACGCTCTCTCCCTGGGACTCAGGGCACATCAATCTCCTCTCCCTTCATCATCACCAGAGCTTAAGACAGGTTCGAGGAAGGTGGAGACACCAAAGAGAACAGGCAAAGCATCGCAAGCAATTCTTTCCCTGCGAGTTTGGATCTGGCTTTGAATTATGGGGAATCACAGAATCATGAAGGATAGAGAAGCCCTCTCAGATCCCCAAATCCAACCCCAGCCCACCCCCCCGTGCCCACTGCCATGGCCCTCAGTGCCACATCTGCCCTCTTTTCTCCAAAACCTGTGCTCAGAGCTCCCCGTTTTCCCTTCTTACATTTTCATGTGAATTGCTATTGGTGGTGCACGGCTCCCAATTAACCTGGGCGCTAATTTAAAAGAAAAAACCAAACATCAACGTGCTTGTTTCCAAGGAGACATTACAAACTTCATAAGGAGGTAACAAATATACAAGAGAGGGAAGAGAACTAAAAGGCTTTGGTTTGAAAATTAAAGTTGTTTGCCACGGCTTGATGGCTTAATCAGTCGATCAATATTGTTCACAGGGCAGGCAGGGAGGGAGCCACGAGCTGTGATGAAAAATGCATGAGGGGACAAGGGAGACCTGGGAGTAGAAAATTAAAAAGTCAGCCTGTTACATTTGTCCAATATTGGCAGAGAAATTAAAGTGGTTTGGGGAGGGGTGCTAGGAGGGAAGAGGGGAGCTGCGATACGCAGCGCATATCTGCCGAGGGTTCCCTTCCTGGGAGAAACTTTCACATTAATTAAGTTGCTTTCTTAGAGAAAAGATGGATTTTGTAACCTTTAGCACCTGCGAGCTCCACGAGAACAGTAGGAGGGGTTTGCATATGGAAAAATAAGAAGGGATTTCTGCCCATCAGGGGTGTGATGGGAGAGCACAGTGACTGGGGAGCGATGCTGCGCCAACACGGCGAGGCCAGGCCTTCTTCTGCAGCACTGGGTGAGATTCATGTACCTCTGTGTGATAAAATGCAGCTCTGTGACATCCGTATCCCAAGCAGTAAAGCAGCAGCATTGTTCAGCACACAGACTTTTCCTTCTGCTAGGGACTGGGCAGCGAGGGCTGCCTGGCAGGCACAGGCAGCAGGGCAAGTGCAGGTCCAGGAGATGCTCCAGAAGCATGAGGCAGCTGCTCCCTGGGGATCGTGGTCCTTAATGCTGGCCTTGAGGATCTGAGCGGTTCCAAAAGCTGCAACAGACTCTAATGACAAACAAAACATCAGGCTGCTCGTCCTGTTCAATTCCACTCCCTGAAGTGGAAATATTGCAAGCTGCTACACTTAAAAAGACTGCAGGGATCGGCAGCAGCGCCCCTCTTAGGACCTGTGGGAGCAGACCCCTTCCCACTGCAGTTCCTTAGGGCAGAAATGCGACATGCAGTTCATGTTACACTTCCCAGCACAATTATTTCTGCATTCGTGTAACTACAGTGGATTTTATGGCACTCCATTAGGCTTGCCAATTACAGGTTTAAGTTTTCAGGCTCAATTAACACACGAACTGGCTGATGTTGTTTTCTGCGACTAATTATCTCCAAGTGCCAGTACACGATTCCATATATAATACTTCTGTGAACTTTGGGATTTGCTTTCTACACCATTATTTAAGTATAAACAAAACTGAGCAGACAGCAGTGCCTAAAGCAGACTGGATACCATATTATGACCTTTTTGTTATTAAAAAAAAATGCTTACTCCATCGGAAACCCAGGCCTTCCAATTAGTGCAGTAATGGGACGGATAGCAGGGCTGCTTATTTACAAGGCTCTCTCATCTAAGATGCACACACTGCTCTGTCTTGGGTGATCTCTGTATCACAAAGGCTGCTTGGGTCAAATAAGAGCCAGGTAGTCGAGCTGCAGTGGGATGGGACACAGCATTACCTCCCTACTATGGCAATCCTTCTGTTTGCTGATGGGGGGAAAAGGAGTTAAAAAGAAAGAATCAAACCACCAACCTCCTCAAGCAAATACGTGTTCATCCTTAATACACAACGCCATGCCCCCAAAGGAGGTCAGACACACCAAATTTTCTTTCAACCACCTCTCACCTCTGTAAGAGCCAGTCTTGCTTCTGCACAGTTAGTCCTAGAAAGCTGGAATTCCCACATCCCACACTGCCCTCGCAACAAGCCGTTGTCGTTGGAAGCTCAGTCTTTTACACCAACACAGCACCATCACGTTTCTGTTCCCATCACTGCTAACTGCACTGTTTCACAACTGCTGTTGGTTCCAGTTGAATTCAATGAGTGCTGTAAGATAACAGCTGATTTCAGGTGCCTCCCCTCCTGCCTGCTCCCCCCTCTCCTTTCCATGCACTGTGGTTAACTGCACTAAACATTCCTTGCTGACAACCAGAGCAAACCTTGCCACCACCAAAGCCTCTGATCTTTACATCACCAAAAGCTCTTCAGGCAAGCAGAAGGGACCTCAGAAGCTGCACTGAAGGGCTGAACTATTTTCCTGCTTTCAGTCCCAGAAAAGGACAAACGAGTTACACTGAGTCACTGCTCAGATGCGTTTCTTAACTGCTCGATACGTGCAAATTTTGGTAACATTTTTCATGACAATTTTAGTAAAGGAAAACATCTGTTCCCCCCTGCTTCTGAAAGTGCCTTGCATCTTCCAAGCTGCTGCATGCCTTTGAAACTCCTCGTCTAATCAACACCATCATCTCTTCCAGAAAAAGACCTGCACAGATAAGCAGCCTCACAACAGAACTCTATCACATCAGCATATACATGTTTAAATGCTTCCAGTTTTTCTAAAGAAAAGAGCAGCTATGAAGAACTCACACTGATCCCAAGGATTTTTGCTGGTTAAATAATGAAAGAAATAGCACAACTTCTGAAATACAAAATTTATTTTGAGCTTATAAAAAAAATCTTTAACACAGCAAATTCTGTTGCAAAACACCAACCATACAGGGGCACTTCCATTAAATTTGGGGTGAAGATCATTACCATCAGATCTCCCTAGATGGATCATTCCAGCTGAGAAGCACCAAGGAGTCACCAGGTGCTCCTCACCACCTCCAAAACCCATCAGTCTCACACATACCTTGCAGAGTGAGGAACTCTGACACAGCAAACTGCATCAGTGCAACCTCACTGCTTAGTGCAGAATGGATGGGTCAGAAGCAGAGCCAGCAGTGAAGCCAGCAGTGAAGCCAGCAGTGAAGCCAGCAGTGAAGTCAGCAGTGAAGCCAGCAGCTCTCCTCCCAGCCCAGCACTGCTCACTCCACACACATCACCTGCTGGGCTGTGCTGCTACTGCCTGCAAGTGTCATGGAAAGCTTCAAGTGTCCGGAAATCCCTCCAGGTGGGCGGCAGGCCATCCTGCAGAAACTTTCCGCAGCGCTGGCACGGAGCCTGGAACAGCTTTATGTAACTTCTTAACCAGGTCTAAGAGAGAAAGGGAGAGACATTAAGAAACGTGGATCTGGACATTCCCTTATGTCATCATTCTTGTCAAGCAGTGATCCCAAGGACAGGGGATGTACTTTGGCGAGGCCCCAGAGGTACACAGTGCTTTTATAAACAGAATGTGCAGAAGATGGGAAGGTCATACATAGCTGAATTCCCACTTTATTAAGAATATTCTTTTTTTTCAGTCACTTAAGCCAATTTGTTAATGGCAATTCATGCACTCTGAGCAGGAGGTTTTTGCAGCAGGAGAATCTCTGCAGAAGGCAAATGTTCCAATGCTCCTCATATTTCTCCTGGAATTCAGTTGTTCCTGATGGGTGCCTTCTTCAGTTGAATATCAGTGCATCTCTTCCTATGAACATCCATCTCAGCAACACTGCACACACACTGCAACACTCTGAACTTTTAGCAGCTGAAGATATAAGCACTTTCACAGCAAAATGACTTCCTCCCTAATGTGATTTTAAGATCAATACTCACTGGTCATAAAAATACTGGAAGATTTTAAATCTGATTACAGTGATATATATCTATAATCAGGGATGTATTTATAAATACAAAGGCAAGTGCTGAACTACAAGCAGTAAGAACAGGTGTTCTAGGTGCAGTTCTTGCCTCACAAGCGCTTCCTCCCATCGTCATACATTGCAATGAGCATTGCATAACTCAATTCCAAACTCAAGGATATACACAGCTGAAAAATACCCAGAGCAGCAGATTTATGCTGCGAGGGCCACGCATGAATCTTGTCATTTAAAGTCCTATTGAATTACATCGATAAGAGAAAATTGTTCTCTGAAGAAGAGGTCAGAGGAGTTTATTGAAACAAATCCTTCCATCTTCATCAGAGCTTTCTCTACAGCAACCAAACCTTTGGCCATCAATAGCTCTCCTCCAAAGAGCCCCTCCATGGGCTTAGCACTAAGTGCAGGGACAAGGGCAGCAGAACACTACAAGTAAATTGCTGTTATTCAGCTCAGATGGACCCTGCTTGCACAACAGAGAAATCGAATTTTCTGAACCATAACACAAAAGCAGTAAATAAGTTAAATTGGGCACTTGAGACATCTGTGGAAAGGGAACAGAACAAGTTCTCTGCTGCCATCAGAAAGCTGGGCCTCCTGTGCACCCTGTCATGTGGATTGCACAACTGACATGTGAAGGGACGAACGCACTGACACTTGTGTTGTACATCTGTTTTTGCTTCGTTAACACTTTTAGCAGCGTTCTGTCCAATCGATACGGCAGGCCCACGGCTCACACAGACGTGCTCCCCACTTCTATTAAACATTCATTTTCAGACACGTGTTGAGACATGGATTGGACCTGGAAGAGCTGCCTTCACCCTTTGAAAGCCATGCTCACGTGCACAGCTCTCCTCTTAGCGGTCTTTTTATTGAATAAACAAAGAAACAAGCACAGCAGGTAAGCGAGTCTGACCTGAAATTACATATTGGAAAAGAAAGACATGAAAGAACCAATGCTATCTTACACACCCACAGATTGCCAGTGGCAAAATTAGATGGTGGATTCTACAAAGTCTGAATTACATTGCTCCGAGTGAAGGGGTAATGTAATAGATGGACTAAAAAGTCTGAATAGCAGAGAAAATCCCTCCCCAAAATCTCCTTTGGGAGATTGCAGCAGGAGAACAGCAACCACGTTCCCTGCCAAAATTCATCTTCGTGGAAGGTGTTCTGAATCATAAACCCTTGTGACTACCAGGGCTGCTTGCATCCAAATGTATTTCACAAAGAAAATACTAAATTCGAGCAGAATTAAAGGTGATAAACTTAAATCTACATGAAGTTAGAGCAGTATTTTATCAATTGTATTCAATAACAGTGGGATATCCCAGCAAGCATTTCCTCTGCCCTGAAATCACCTGCTGCTGCACTGATCATCCACCCACAGCCCATCAGGATCCAGGTTTGGGCCAAAAGGACCAAGGATTCTTCCTGATGACATTCCTGCCTCCAAAGCTCTTCACTCACATCAGTGACCCTCATTCCCTGCTGTGCTGGGCACACTGATGAGCAAGCTGGAATACACTCACAGCTAATTTCACTGGACCTGACTTTATGTCCTGAAACCAACTCTGCACAGTGAACACAGTGTGAATGGGCTGGACAGTAACAAAGAGCGTGGGGCAGCTTTTTTCTGCTGTCTTTAGAGATGACCCAGACTAGCTTTGCAAACTGGCATCACCAAGCAAATGTTGTGGCTTCTGATAGAGCACCTCTGCACAGCACAGCCCTCAAACATCAGCTATCCCACAGTACTGAGACAGATTTTTCATCCCTACCCAGATACGATACAAAGAATTACAGTTGATCTCTGCTGTCTAGCTTGGTTAAACAGGCGAAGTTACAACTGCATCACAACTGCCTCGTGCCATTTGCTGTCAGCATGCTCAAATCTGTCTGGAGGTAGTGAGTTATCTTCAAATTTACTTACCATGAAAGATCTGACTACCACGTCAGGCATCTGAGGCAGCTGGTAGTGCAGCAGGGCAGTGGTTGCGTGATCCGTCACCTGTGCCAGACAGAAGGAGAACATTCTCTCATTCATTCCACACCTCAGACATCTTTCTTTGAAGAAAAAGAAAATAAATTCCACAGGAAAGTGGCAAACCAAAGGCCGTGTCACTGCTAAGATGCTCTCAAAGAAGTTTTGGGTAGCTTTTCCCAGCTGCCTTCCATTCCCACTGTCAGCCTTCATACAGCAATCAGCTACAGCAATCATGAAGACTGACTTCCTATGCACAGAGTGAGATCAACACATCTTAGCAAAGTCAAATGTGTGGCAGAAGCTAATGATGTAAAATGACAGACTGGTGGCCAATGTGAGCAAAGTGATGCAGGAAGGCGGCCAGCTCAATGCTACGTGGAACAACACCAGAAGGACCCAGCCCTGCAAGGCACCTGAAGGACAGAAGGGACCAAAGAGACTGCTTCCATCACTGTTAAAAGGACGGAAATTTCTCAAACATAAAATAAAATAAAAAGATTTACACTAAAATAAAAGCCTAAGTATCAAGCAATTCATCTAACTTGCAATGCCTGCAGCAGAAGAGCAGAGCCCATGCCTCCGTGATTGAAATCCCACACATCCTGTGAAATCATAAAGAAGCAAAGTTACTGAACAAACCATGCCAGAGGAAAACACTCTGATTTTCTCTTTAGATGTCCCCATTTTGACTCTGGTCATTTTTAAATAGAGAATGTGCTCCTTTAACACGTGTTGATCCCTTCAAGGAAAAAAAAATGTAGCTAAATTAGAGATTCCTGGCAGAGGCCAAGAGTGTAAAAAAAAAAAAAAGGAGAGAGAAAAAAGAAAAAAAAAAGAAAAAAAAAGGAAATAGAAAACCCCAAAGCTTTGATTGTGGTCTGTTTTATTGAGGAGAAAGAAAATACAAAATACTCTGATTCAAAACTACATTTTACTGGAAGATGAGGCTACTCTTCTCCAATTTTTTCTGATGTGAATACTTCATACATTTAAATTGTATGGATTTATTTCAGGTTGCTTACGTTGAACAAATAGGAATCGAGCTCTCATTTCCTCAGAAAACAGGAATCAATTAATATGATTATGGTTCATAACTACTTGCATTAGTAAAAGGTTCCTGATAGAAAGCTTTTTAATCTACCAGACAGAGCCAGAACAAGATCCTCCATCTGGGAATTAGAGCGAGATAGAATACAAAGGACACGTAGAGCTGAAATAGCAAGAATAATTTCAAATAACAGGAGAAGGAAGCAATGGCTCAGTAGGGCTGCAGTCCTCAACAGCTCCGTCACAGCCTTTGGGCAGAACTTCTCAGCCCAAATCTCTGGGCTGTGCTATTAAAGGCCTCAGACAACAAACCCAGCAGCACTCCTGCATTCTATCACTTGTAGTTCTATTTATGGGCCTCACCAGTAATTATCGAGAAGATGAAGCGTTCTTCTCAAGTGCTACCTATATATTTCCCAGGGCCTGGCCCGAAAGCACAATAAATTACGAGTAAGAAAGCGTGAATCGACATTACAAGTGCTATTCCCAACTAACTCCATTTGTTCCTAATTGGCATTTAGTCTAATTCAGCAAAGCGAATCGCAATGAAGCGCTCTGAATTTCACTGCAGGCAGAGGGGCTGTGAGTCTGCAAAAGATGTGCTCACAAAAATGCTCCCAAGGCTCCACCTGCAGCACTGAGTCCAGCCTGGGGCCCCCAGCACAGGAAGGACGTGGAGCTCCTGGAATGGGTGTAGAGGAGGGCACTGAGATGAGCAGAGGGCTGGAGCAGCAATCCTATGAGGAAAGGTTGAGGGAACTGGGATTGTTTAGTTTGGAGAAGGCTGCAGGGAGACCTCATGGTGGCCTTCAGTGCTTGAAGGGAGCATAGAAACAGGAGGGGAACGGCTGTTTGTGAGGGTGGATGGTGATGTGACAAGGGGAATGGTTTTAAACTGAGACAGGAGGTTTAGGTTGGATATCAGGAGGAAGTTTTTCCCCCATAGGGTGGTGAGGCACTGGAACAGGTTGCCCAAGGAGGCTGTGGATGCTCCATCCCTGCAGGCATTCAAGGCCAGGCTGGATGTGGCTCTGGGCAGCCCGGTCTGCTGGTTGGTGACCTGCACACAGCAGGGGGTTGGAACTGGATGATCTTTGAGATCCTTTTCAACCCAGGCCATTCTATGATTCTATGATATGATTTTATGACCCTGACCCATGTAAGCTATTTATATGCTTCCATCCAATGCATTAAAAAACCAACAGGATTAACTATGCATCAGCAGCACGGTGTAACTCAAGTCAGCCACGTCGCTCAAACAACTCACGCGGCGTTTGGAAATGACTGCAGCCCAAATCCCGCCAGCTACACGAGCTTCTCCTTTTAAGATGGTGCTTTTACAGGATAGCACCAGACATGTCAAAGAATGGAAAGTTCTGAAGATATTTATGAGCAGCCGCTCTCCTTCTGCCGCGTTGCTACTTCTAACAAACCGTATTTTTTCCCCGAACAACAAAGTTGTTTTCTCTTGGCACCAAAGACGTAGAAAGTTGCTTAAAAATACTCTTATGAACAAATTTAAATTGACTGGCCACTTTGGTGAAGTTGCACATATGCTGTTCCCATTGTAATGTAAAGCTAATGAGATTCCGCAGGGAGATGAAAGCCACCCCAGCATTGCTAGAACACTAATCACATCTTCTGAACAAAAAGGAGGCGATTTCTACCATAAGCAAGTGCTTGTACAGTGCTTCTGCACCGGATCAAAGTGGGTGTCAAGCCTGAGGAAGAGGATATGGGAATGAGCCCCTCGGATCAAACCAACAAACATGATGTCAAACAAAAAAGGGGGGGAGGAGGACATGCTGGGCAGCGCATAGGGCAGAAGGGAGACTCAACGCTGCCAAGATAAGAGATGCTGACAGAAAACATAAATTGCCCCAGATTTCTGTTTTTAATAATAAAAATAAATCAAAAATCAATGCTGAGCTTTTACTAATGGCAGTGTGATTTCACGCCGCAGCAAAGCAAAGCAAAACAAACTGAATAGGTGCCAAAGCATCCAAGGGACGCGCTTCTTGTTCCAGCCAAGCTGGAATCACAAATGAATTTATTTCAGCTGCAGGATGACATTTTGTGCATTTCAGGACTTCTCCTTTATTAACTTCACTTTCATTGCTATATCTCCCCCACTATCTTGGTTATCTGTCACTTTCTAATTTCTCTGCCTCTTTTTATACAGGAACATGCTCAGAACAGCACACATTGATTAGGATAGCTGTTGCTCTGAACCCTGAAATAGATTTTCAAGTGATCTTGGAGAAGAGCTCAATATCTCACAATTCATACATTGAAAAGCATCTGGCATCTTTGCCAAAGGAAAAAAAAAAAAAAAAAAGCAATCTCCTGAAGCCACAATTTTGCTAAATAGACCAGCTATTGTTTAACTAAGCGTGTTCCCACTCTGAGACAGAGGAAAAAACACTTCAGGGATGAGAAAAAAAATCTAGCAAAGAGATGGCCTCAGGCTTCTCCTTTTAAACAACCCTGAGCTGTCCTGGACTGCATGGAATTCTGCTTTGCTGAGGTCCAGTCTTGTTTTCAATGTGAATAAGAGAACTCCCCTTCTTAACAGTTAATTGTATTGCCTGAGAGATTTTTTTTCTCATTTTTTGTTTCCAAGCTGGTTAGAAATATGTACTGCTGAAATGCATCTCTGCTCCCCAGCCTCGAGCCCCACATGCACGGGGAATATGAAACAGACAGATCCTGGGTCAGACCTAATATTCACTACTTTGCTGTGCAAATTAAACCTTGCATCCTCAGCCCTCCTGCAGAGCAGCCCAGCCCCAGCAGGGCAGTGGGGCAATGTGTCCCTGCTGCTGCCAGGGGCTCCCAAGCTGTGTGTGGGGAGGCAGTGATGCCAGATGTCCCCAAACACTGCATGCTGCTCCTCACGTGGATAAAAGGTCCTGAGTGCAGTGCTAAGCTGGGAGCAGCAAGCACAGCCCCTGGGATTTGTCTCTTCTGAGCCAACACCAGGCATTGCTACAGCACTGCTATGGCACTGCTCCAGCCACCCAACAGCACTGCTTCACTGAGACTCTGCAAAATGGCCCTGCTGGCCCCCAGTAACACCATTGCTGAAAATTCATTCAAAAAAGAATCCCACAGCTCAAAGGCTGGGCATGCTGAACAAGTGCTTCCTCTAATGGCTGTATGAAGCGCACAACCAGGGACCTGAGGCTCAGCTCTCCTCCACAGATGAGGTTCCACACAGGCATGAAGCTATATCTGGCACAAACACAAAACAGAAAAGTATTCTCTTGATTCTACATTTCTCTTGACTGAATCATAGAAGCTGTCTCTTTACTCTAATATCTTCTCATTGCTATTGGACGTGCTCTTCAAGAATAGGTAAAAAACTTCCCTTAAGAGTCATAACTTTCCTTGCAACTTACTTATTGGTTTATTCCCCTGAGTGCAGCACTGAAAACTAATCTAATATAAAGGGATTCTCCAAATCCCCAGAAAGTTTTTTAATTTTTTTTTTGTAAACCCCTTTAAGTTCACAGCCTTAACAGCAGCCTATGGCAATGAGTTCTAAAGGATGATCAGAGCACGGAAAGAAAAAAAGAAGTTACTGTGTTATTAGTGGTTAGACCTCTTCTACCATGGAAAACTGCACAAGTGCCTCTGCTCATTTCCAAGGATTCCCATTACTCAATCTGCACTGCAGGTACGCACTGGAGTCTCCCTGGAGGGAATCAGCGGGTGGCTCGGGGAGGATGATAGATGGCACCTTGGCAAACAAGAGCTGATAATGCCATGTAAATCCTTCACACTCCTTTCCCCACGCCCTGCTCAGTAAAACGCTGCCATACATTTGTGGAGCACAGGATTTCTTCGTCGTTTTCAAAGCTCAGCATTTACGTGTTTATTTTGCTTGTTCTGCTCATTCGGAGCGGGTCACAGGTTTTATTCCACCTAAGCAGGTCCCCAAAGACAGCCACACGCTGATTGTGCAGAGGAGCAATGATGCAGGTGACCTGGAACAGTCCATCCCCTCTCCTTGAGCAGACAGCATCAATAGCCCAATAGCTGTCTCATGCATGCATTCATTTTACACGTGATTTTATTCCGAGATTATTGACAAGAATACATCTTCATACATTACAATACTTATATGCCCTTGGAGTGGAGAAGATTGTGCTCTGAGTTCCACCTGGGGATCATGCAGCAGCTGGATAGGCACCGATAGCTTCTCAAAGTCTAGATTAAAATGTGACTGGGGAGAAGTGATCAAACCAAAACGGAGAGCACTTTGTGGCATGCTGAAATGGAGACCATGTAGGTGTAAATAAGAGATTGGGATCAGACAGAAATAAACGAGCTCACAGCCTACATGTGACTCAACCAGCCCAGATGAGCGCATCACGTAGCAGCTCACCGAGCAGCTGGCAAACGAAACAGTTAACATCCAACACCGTCTCCCCGTAGCACAGTTCTGATCCATTCACAGCAGTTCTGCTGCACTACGCATCTCTTTTTCTGAATGCAAAGTTACAAATATTACACCATTCTCCACAATCTTTATGTGTATATATACCTGTTTAATTCTCAACGATCTGGAATTGTACATGCTTCTTCCTAAGATTTAAGCACCAAAATAGTTCCTGATTTCCTGTTTTGTTCCTACTCTTGTGCTAGCAGACAAAGACACAGGAGGTGTTAAAATAAGGAGGTTTGAGATCAGAACAGTTGCCACTCCTGCCGAGTTTAAATGTCAGACTAATATGGAAGGCTGCAAACCTTTTCAGTGCTCCTTGAGCTTCTGCCCTTTCATCCTCCCGTTTTCCAGCTCCATTCTCTGAACCTAACCCTCCTGGTGGATTCAATAGCCACAAAGCTTACTCACCCCAGGACCAGACAGCAGAAGGCTCTGGGGAACTCACAATATGACCGGATGCTTTAACAGTAATAGGCCCTCTGGGAGCTGTCCCCCATCAAATGATACACACCCAGGTATCCTGCCTATTAAGGAGAGAGAGAAAAGGCATGCTGACACAGCCAGCACTTGCAAACAAAAGTCAGGACAAATTTAGCATCACTTGACAGGGTTGGATTGAAGATCAGAGGTCTCCGGTCCTTAACCTGGAAAGTCATCCTGCAGCCCTGTGAGATTTTGACAGGCTTGCAGCTACCACAGACAGGTATCCTGTGAGCTCCAGATGCTGCTGTATTATCTCTGAAAGCAAAGTTTGGGAACACGGTGTGGCTTTTAAAGAGAAACGTCCCTGCCTTTCAGTGATGGGTGACTTCAGAGCATTCAAGGCAGCAGGGCTGGAGGGGTGCCTGGGCTCCTCGGTTACTCATCCGTACTTTTCCTTCTCACACAGCACTCCTGTGTCATGGTTCTGCTGACTGCCATGAGGAAAACATTCCAGGAAGATTCAGAAATACTCTCTGACCTTATTACTGGTGATCCTTCAGTCACATTAAAACATTTTTTGCTAAGACCTTGCAGTACTGCAGTGCTAACAGAATGTAATAGTTTCCCTCAACTTATTTTAACTACTTCCTCTGTTTTGCCACAGCTGAGCAGCTATTCCAGGATGTCTAAATGTATACAAGCACAGTTTCAGAGAATAAAGACAAAACCAAACACGGCAGCACCGAGAGAAAACTTACTGTGCTGAACTACAGCGTTTTCTGACATCTGTTTGAAAACCTGACTTCAGCCTCAGCTTTAGCTTATTTAACTACCAGCTCAACTGTGCAGAATCTATTGATTAGAAAGCACCATCACCTTGCATTCTGACACACTTTACACACAGGAGTCTCAGAGCTCTCTACGACCAACCCAGCAATAGCTCCTGTGAAGTCAGCAAGTATTCCCCCCAGCTGAAGGGATGCTGAGAACTGATCCAAAGACAGGCTGCCCAAGGTAAGGCAATGACAGAGCTGGGAATGATCTACACAAGGACAGAGCTGTTCCACCGGTTCAAGGCAACCCTTAGTCCTGTAAGGCTTTCCTTTTTTTGGTGCATATTTTTGCACTTGGTGTTATTTATTGAGAGATCTGGAGAACAGGAACTTCACAGTCAGGTCAGATCGCGTTATTTTAAAGGATTAAGGAAGAGATCAGCCACTTATTCCGTGCACACACAGACGTGCCCACAGACAGACAATGATACAAATGCATCTTCTCTCTTCGTTTTGGAATTATTATCCAAGGCATTCCAGCGAAATCATTATTAACTAGAAAATAAAGATTCTTACGTACCCAAAATGCTGTCACACGGGCAGCTGTCAGAAGGGTATTTCACAGCTTCCCACTGAGCTCTCTCCCTTCTATCTGAAGGCTCTCACCTGAACTTGAAATTTGCTTTATGGACGTACTCACCAACTCCTTAACTTGGACTCCTAAGCAAACTGTCGACTTACTGTGCACTTATCTTTCATGTAGAGAAAGTTATATAATCAAAACTCAAGATTCAGCATCATTTACCACAAATGTTTGCAATAACTTGTGTTCCAAGTTACTCTAAAGAAAAAAAGCCAGGAAGACAACCTTATGCCCAAATGAGACTACAGTCTAAAACACACATGGGGAAACTGAGATGATGTACTTAATTACATAAAGTTAAATTTATTCCATTGCAAAAGTTACTTAAAAGTGTACTGATAAACTATTTACTAAGATTGATGCTGTTTTACTTCCCGCTGGATTACCCTACTTGACACAAAATATTTTTGAGGAGTAAGAAAAAATAAAGAAAGAATATTTAATCCACTAATCTCTGGAGTAAAGAACTGACTAAAGCAACATTTTGCTTTAATGCTAGGCAGAGAGGGAGAGCAACCAAAGGGAGGAGAGCCTCCCCAAAAGCTGTCCTTTGATCTCCAGCAGGCTAATACCACAGGTCAAACATCTTTGCTTCTGTCTGCATCTGAAGTCTTGGAAGAAAGATGCACAAATAGAGTCAATATGCCATACTCTGACCTCTGCTTTTATGCCCTTTAGAGTCCCTGCCCCGTATTTGTTACAGAAACTACAGAAACAGATGAAAGGCAGCCAGTGTGCTAGCTGGAGACTCGGGCTCCTTGAACTGTGGCTTGAAGATAAGGAAGAAGAATTTAACCCCAGAACAACCTGAACTTGCAGCATTTTTACAAGAGGCCTTCGAAGATGAATGTTCTTCTGCATGGAAGATAGCAGAATACCAAGATACCGAGTTTCCAGAGGAGGGAAGCAACCAAAAAGAATGAATCCAACACAATAAAATCCAAAATAACTTCCCTCCTTCCCTCCAAAAACTTAAACCAAAACAGAGAGTACCTCAAAATTCCCTGTGAAATTTTAAGTCCATGGCAGTAAAACCTCCGACTTCCCATTCCAAACCACTGACTGAAATTGTGACGGGATATCAATGGTAAGGGATTTATAACAGATGACAAAGGAATAAAATATGAATTTTTATTTAAAACCAACCCTACCTGTATCTCACGTGTGTTACGTAGAGAGAAACGATGTGGGACTTACCTTCTGAAACACCTGATAGTTGGATTTGGACCATATGTCAAGCTGCAATAGGAAAAACAAAGTTATGGATTACTACATGTAATTACCACGAAAAAGAATGGAAGCAGCTGTTCAACTCAAAGCACAGGCAAAGGGAGCGACGGAGCTTCAGTTCTCAGTTCACTACTTTGACCCATCAACCACATCTGCTGCAATTTAAGAAAGGGAAATAATGACATCAGAGTTAATTTGTTTTGCAGTGAAAAAGGAACACAGATCATTACAGTTTCAATAAAAATATAAATGTGAGATCTGTTGAATTAATGTGTTCCCTTTAAAAAATGCTCATCTGTCTGAGGCTGCGGCTGATCTGCACAAATATTCATCAGCTTTGGTCTGTTTCTTAAATGAGGGCATTCTTACTAAGTTGATGCTCATCTTGTGTCTGAATAAGCGATTCAGTTACAATGACACAAAGCACGTTTAGCTGAATTAAGCCAAAGCACTGCTCTTCTGGGACTAAATAAAGCATCCCTTAGGAAACTGCATTTACATCCGTAGACAAAATCACACCGGCTGTAGATAACTGCACACATTCATGACATAAGTGTGTGCTCAGCCAGACAGGAAATAAATGTTGGTAACCCCAGAAAGCAGAAGGTAATGCTGCCCTTGTTAAACAACCAAGTGGCTCGCACGTCGGACAGTTCGAAGTGATGTGCCAGTGCTCTTTAGCCCAGCCCTGTGGAATAGCTTGTACTCTGTCACAGAAAAGCAGCAGGGAAGAAAAAGAAAAAAAGAAAAGCAGAATTTCCTTCAACCCCTGACTTGCAAATCATTTTTGTCTTACAGATCCCACTATACTCAACCACTAGGATAAGAAAAGCCATCAGCTTCACTCATTAGTGCCAGGTTTCTTCCAAAGTGCACAAAATCCCCTGGCATGTCCTCACTTGCAAATTCACCTTTAATCGTGCAGAAATAGACACATACAATGGCTCTGGCTTTCTTGGAGAAATGCGTTTAAATGCACACGTAAAACCTGCATTGCATTATTTAGTTGTTCTATTAATTGTACAATACACCTATTTTATTAAAATATGGCAAATGATGCTAAAAATGCAAATAAGAGATCTCAAGCTAAATGTACAATCCTGAGAATAAACAGTGTGGTACCAAACACGGTCTGCCAAGTTTACACCTTAAGAGAAATGGATTTAAAGGAAGCAACTCCGTGCTGGGTTCATCTCCTTTATTATAAAGCACAGCCAGTTATCTCAATCTGACTTGCAGCAGTGCTCACAAGCTGCAGCTGGAACGACAAGCCTTCTGAAAGGCACACAGGCTAGAGCCTGGAATGGAAGAAGTCCCAGCATGTGCATAAAACACACAGGAGGGGGAAGGCCACTGAACCCCAGTAATTAATGCACATAGGTTAAATGGCTGGGAACGCTACCAGTCCCCATGCCTTTAGGACTAAAGCTGTTATGTGCCTGCCTTCAGAACAGTGGCACAGAAGCGACTCCTGAGTTTCCAAACCTCAGCCTGACGGGTGATGTTAAAGATTTTAGCATCACTTCTGAATGGACATGTCATGGCTTAGCAGTGCTGACCTTGCTGTGGGACAGAAGGCAGCTGATGCCTCGATGCCTTTTCCAGGTCAGCCGAAGGCAGAAGTACCCTAAGGCGTGTTACCTTCAAAACTTTACACTTATGGCTCTTAAGGCAGGTTCAAGAACCTGAGCACTGACACTGCTCCTACAAGCAGCAGCCCAGCTGGGACTTGGAGCCATGCATGATTCTCTGCGCAGTGCACCTGCGCCTGTAGGGAAGGAAGCATCACATTTCCATATTAGAAAAGTCTACACTTAAAAATAAAACATTAATACAGATTTTTTAAGCTGTTTTTGTGTAAGTTTGGGCTTGCTTCAAAAGCAGAGTTGCTATAATTGGAATACATACATGGTTTTGCTAATCTCCAGTGATCACACGCAGTGTGTGATCCTCTCTAGGTAGATTTGAGATATAAAAAAAAAATTAAAGAAAAAACTCCACTTCAGATGCTGCATTAAGCATTAAGATGAGTCCAACAGGTTCTGCAATGTTCATTAGTTGACAAGGAGACTGGAAAGCTGAAAAAGTAATGAAAGTCTCCTAGGTGTGATGGTAGCCGAGCTGAAAAAGAAAAAAAAGGAAAAAAAAAGCTACCAGCCCCTCCCCAAAGCACACGCAGAAATCCTACATGACTGACCACCTTTCCCCCAGCCAGAGGATGAAGGCAGAGGCGGATTAAAGAATGCATCGTTACAGGTCTATTATTCTTCAACTTTTCACTTTCAATCAAGACACACATTTGTAACTAAAAAACTGCTGAAAGCACAATTCCAGGGCATCCTCTGCATGTGAATTAAACTGGGGCTTTTTTTCCCAGCGCCCCGTTCTCCCCACCCACCCCCAGCATAAGTAACGAGAGGCCATTTTCTGAAGGTCATCTGAACGATTTCAAAGGCGATAACAAATCAGAATGTTCCCTGCATCTAATATCAAACAGGTCCGGTGCCAACACTTATTAGAGAAATCGGATTCAACCCCCCTTCACCCAAACACACACACACCCAGCTTTGAAGTGGAAAGAATACGGGGATCAGAAATTACCCGAGAGACAGCGCGGGCTGTCTTTGAAGCTTTCCTTTGATACCACTATTTCTTTTCCTCTCTTACGCTAGGAGGCTAAAAGCTGCCTTCGCTTATTGATATGGGGTAATTAATGAAGCCACAGCATTAACATAACCCCAGTTCCTTAACATGATAATTCAATAGAGACACTTATGTTTCTTTAGTTAAGTCGAACGGATGCAGAAATCAGAGTTTGGCTAGGCAGGGATGTTAAGTGCCCACTCCAAATGCACCCTGCCATGCTGCTCCGTGGTACCCGAGTCCAAAGAGAAGCAGGGTGCTGCCCACCACGCCAGCAGAATCCCAATGCATCTCTATTTTTATTGGCAGACTAGGTTAACTAATGGTTCAGCTGACGATCAGCCTGCCCTGCAAGAGCGAGCTGCACAGCTTCATTTATTCAGGAATCGGGACAACATTAGTAATTAACTACCATCGTGGTTAAATTCCAGTGCACAATGAGTATGTCAAAGTTTGAAATCGAAGGTGGCACGGTGCCATAGCTGAAGCTACAGGGCTAATTAAAACACATCAGTATGGGGTGGACGTAATGGCTGGTACAGTAAGCAGGAGAGAGGCAGAGCAGTCAGCACACAGCGCCGGCTGCATGACAGCGCTGCCACAGCTCACCTATTGTTTTTGCAAAGTGTCACCAAAAATGTCTAAGTTATGCAGCTGGCAACCTGGCAAAGACACATTCTGCAGGGTTTGTGAATAATTCACGAGAGAAGTACACGAAGCACTTAAGAAACACACTGATGCTTTGTCTATATAAGCAAAGCTTGAAAATAAAACGCCAAAGTGCAGTATCCTATTTTACCCATGGAAAGCTTAACACTACTTTTCATTTTTTCACCTTCACTTTGAAAGTATTTAAGTCTGTAAGAAAGAGCAACCAATTTAACTAGACTTCAGTACAGCAGAAACCACGGGAAGCTTTCGCATAAGCTCCTGTCAGTGCAGACAGCGCGACGTCTAAGTGCACAGCAACCCGCATAATGCAACGTCAGCTCTCCTGTGTACCTGCTAGCAGTGCCTCAGCACACTGCCACGCACAGCTCCACAGCTCTGAGAGCCACCCATGTTTGTTTTACTTCTAGACCTGCCTGCCTAATGTACCAGACGACACCAGTACCTCTCCTGTTTGCTCTCTCCCTTCTCTCCCCAGAAATGCAAAATTTGCTAAACCAGTTGTGCTTTCCCCTTCCGTGCCTCACAAGGCATGTTCCACTTCCTGCCTGTGCCGTCCTTCAGTTTCCCAATGATGGCCATTTCTTCTTTTGTTGGACAGTGCTGAATACATTGCATTGCCCCAAACCACGCCGTTTAGAGAAATCCCCCCAGAGAATCTCACTTTTAAAGGACCTTCTGATATATGGGCTTAGGAGGCTTACTCAGAAGACCACCACTCAGCTATTTGCACGTAGAAAAGTGCAAGGATGCTGTGACTTAATCCAGCACCCCTTCTTCAGTATGACTTACAGAAAAAAGAGGAGCTTCAGAATTGCCATACTGTAGGATACCTTTTTAGTTAATCTCATCCTTGCTGTTTACAAATATTAAATGCTCCCTACAAATAAGCAAACCCCCCAATCAGCAATCACTGTGCAAACTGCTCGTGGGAAAAGCAATCACTCCCTACAGCAACTCCAAAGCTTCTCTGCATTTTTATTATCTAACAAACAGGATGCTCACTGATCTCCTTCATACCTTTCTGAGTCTCTGAGCACTACTGCTTCCCTCCCAGCACCAGGCTGGAAACTGAGAAGCTAGAACAGTGGAGCACTTTCCCTACAGCAGCTGTTGTGACAGAGAAGGAATTGGAATGGACTATGTTTGCAATTGACTGTAATCACTCATTCCCAGCAGGCACAATAAAGTAAAGCGAATCATTGCAAGAGCACTATCTTATTCTTATACTCCAATTACCAGTGTAGTTAATTAGTGGAAAAAAAGGGAGCCCACTGTTTGTCAATATGTGCTCCAGTTGGCAAAACTAGCAAGCTACGCATATATTCAATCTTCCAAGCCAAATTTACTCATGATTTAAGAGGCTGCAACTCCAGTTCTACCAAAGTCAGACGAGATGTTCCTATTTATACCTAAAATGCAGACCTACAGCTTTGCTCCAGCCTTGAGATGGCCCAATGGAATAGCAACTGCCACGGTACAGACACGGGTTCATCCAGCCTCGTGGGAGCCGTCGCATCGCCCCGCTTAGAATGCTGAAATGTAAGTTGGTAGAGAACAGCTTCCACTGCAGACTGCTTGAAGCAAGAAGGCAAAGCAGGTGTTAGCAGTGCTGCTCAGGAGGAGGTAACTGCTCCCTATGGACACAGACAAAGGTTAGTGCCCCGTGCCCAAAGCCAACCGTGGTGAGAACTGCTCTCAGATGACAACAGTGGAGGAACACAGCTCTCCTGAGAGCTAACCTGGAGCGAGACAGAAGCTGCACACCAGATGCTGAATTTTGCAAAGGAACTTTTACTCATCTTTTCGGCACATACAGCATAATTATATTTCAAGGGAGCCTCAAAGAAAACTGGATTCATTGGAGAAAATGAGCACACCCACATGAAATGTGACATGGGAAACCAACAAGTGGTGTCAGTGCTTTTTAGGCTATTCTTTCACTTCCCAGCAGAACTCAAGGTGAAGAGGGGCTGATGCTTTAGTCTGCATTTGTATGCTGATATACTGGGAGCGGGGTGCAACTGCTTCTGCTGCACAGTGGTGTTTAAACCCATAGATCTGAGCAACACAAATAAAAACATCAGTGGGTTTTTATTTTACTCTTCCCTAGGCCAACCCCCCACCCTTCAAGTAAGAATCTCTCATCTGGGAAACGTAGCTGCGTGACACTCTTTGGCAGATCTGCTCCTGGCCTTTTCTGGGGAACAGAGATTCAGACTGGAGCTGCTGAACCCTGGGTCAGTACACAACGTGCTGCTGTGTGCTGAAACCCAGTTATCACTTCTGAAAGGAAAGAAGTCTCACCTCATTATAACATGGCCTATGGGTGCCAAGTACTCATCTTGATATAATGAACTCTGTATTTTAATAGGCTTCATAATCAGAAGAGAGAGCTCCAGAGAGAAAATGTGCAACATGGAGGCATTTAGTACTGTTTCTGGCACAGGAGTGTCCTGCTATCTCAGTAACAGAGACCACGCCACCCTGAGCCAAGGAGGAACAACCTGAGCCAAAGGTGTCAGCTCCTGTCCTGAACTCGGGCTGCAGGCGGCCATCTGGAGTCAGGAGAAATGCAAGGGTTCAAGCAGGGTGAATGGCTGATGAAACTAAACCCTCGTGGAAGCAGGGAACACTCACCTTTAGTGGCTGCTGTTCAAGATGAGCCGATACTGACACGGAAATTACTGAGGACTACCTAGCAATGATTCTCATGGCTGAGCTTATCAAGTTGAACACAAAGCTAGCCCAAGATTTCCCGAAAGCTCTCAGAAAAGAGAAGACTGAACCTTGGGCTATTGATGTGCTCCAACACTGAAAAAATGTTTTCTCAGTAGACACTATTAATGAGGCAACTGGGGGTCTAAGGTGATAAATTAGAAATTCAAGCTAGAGCATCAGAGCTTAGAAAGAAGTCAGACATTTGGGTACGAAAAATCCAAGGAAAGCATGATAAATTTAAACCCTGTAAAACATCCACAAATTCTTCTGACAGTTTTGTGATTCCAGCATACTTGTGATGGGATGCCTTTTCTCTGACATTTAAATATCAGCTAAAAATAAAATTGATGGTTGCTGGATACATGATAACCTACCTTGCCATCGTCAGTATAGACGTTTTCATTGTATCCTTTTACTATCGTCCGGTCAATGAAGAGGCTCCGCATCACCACTATCACTTTTAACACTTTTCCTAAGGTAACCTATCAAGAAAAGGACAAACAAGGTGAAGGAGAGCTAATGGTGTCTGAATTCACAAGACCATCATGTTAACAGCTCAAGCTGATGCAATCTCAGTTTTCAATATTTTATAGACAGAACAAAATAGGAGATCTGAAAACACTGCGCGCATTATGAGGAAGAGACAGACCATAAAGTGCAGAGCAAACATTCATTTGCAACCAAAAATGGATGAATTCACAGAATTCCCTTGTGCAGACACGACACAGCCAAGCAACTCCCTCCATTTTATAAACAACACAACTCAACAACTTGTCAAAAAACAGTGAGCAAATTATGATTAGTTTCGCTGTATTCCACATTCTCCAATGGGAGTCCATGTAAGCAAAAATAATTTGAAAGAAGAATCAGACTCTTCTGATGTTAGCTGTTAAAAGCATGCCATAGGTTCAATGTAAAACACTTTAGGTCCACACTTGAGGTAAAAATATTTACAAGAAAACAAAGTGGGACAACAGCAATTACAACAGTAAAAATCTTACATTTTGAAAGGTTTAATTTTCTTTTGTAGTAACAGCAAAGGGGCAAGGAATAAAAGTAGCATCTTGGTCTGTCACAATATAACAGCAGAAATAAACCTAAATTACAGTATTGACAAAGAAAACAATAATGAGGATGCTTTAATCTAAAAATCAATTTAACATTCAAAGATGAACTTGTACTTCAATCCTGTTTAAACCTCTAATAGGAATTTTGTCTTTCTGTCCTGTTGTACAAATACGATGGAGTTTCCACTCGTCCACAAAAGCACAAAATTGCTCTTTATTCTCTTAGTCAGCACCAGTTACTCATGTTGAAACAAGGTGGGAGGCAGCAGTCGTTAGCAGAAATTAAAAAGGAAAAATATACAACAAATCAATACAGACGCACGGTGACCGATTTCTTTGGGAGTGGATTTATCTGCTGATGTTAGCAGGAAGATGATGATTGCTCTCGCATGTGTTCATCTGAACTGGATGAAGTGCTGCAACACAGACAGCAGAAAACAGGCGATGCCAACGCCGATGGACTGTGCTGGAGGACTGAGGGCTGCGATGGGAAACGGAGGAAGGAATGGAGTGACAGCACAGAGCTTTTTTAGAACAGTCACCCAAAGTGCTGTAAATACCAGTTTCCCATTTTAAAGAACTATACAGCAGGACAGTTACAGATCCTAAAAGAAACTGATGACAACTCTTTGGTGTGGGATGTGGAAAAAAGCAACTCCGGGCCAGAAGAGTTAGAGCAAGAGGAAAGAATGAGTTGACAGCAACAGACAGATCAAGGGAAAGAGAAGGGAAAAAGAAGTCAATGACAGCCTTCAAGATGACAGGCTGCTGGGCATGATTTTTCAAAAGCATAAAGGAAAAAGCAATCCACAAGAGATTTTTGAAGAGAAAAAACGTTGCAGATGTAGGGTAGCCTGCAAGAAGGCCTGAACTACACCCACAGCAGCAATAGCTCTGATTCCCACCTTCTCCTGTTACACTGGGACTTCATGAACATGTACAGAACTCCTCAGCGTTCTCAGGCAACCCAATAAGGTCTCATTTGCTGTGAATTTAGGCCTAAAGGTGGTATTTACTGGGATCCTCTGTGACAAGACCTAGTTGGTCTGCAAGTAAAGGAAAGAAGAAAGTAGCAGAGGAATTTCAGCACTGTAACAACTAAGTTAGAAGTACAGTCCCAGATGTGGCTGCTCTGTGATGCTGATCATCTGCTGGAATCAGAAGAACGACTTTGTCACAATGGCAGAATTAATTAGAAACAAGATGAGAAATAGGAGACACCCTGAAAAAAGCTGTTGGCACGCTCAGAGTTAATTGTTTTCTTATTTACTCTTTTCTACCTCATTTAAGAGCGGCGGTTTTCTAGGATGCATCCCTACTGAGAGAACTGCCTCCACCCCACACTGTGCAATTATACGCAGCAAAACTCAGAGGAGAAAAAGAAGAAATTTTAAACAAAACAGAAATCTTCTTAATGAAGAGCAAAAAGGCAGTCCTACAAACTCCCAGACATGGCTCTATATGTAATATTTTCTATTTTCATTCCCTTCACACACTTCAGTGGATGCTCACTTCTTTCCCCTGCGTTCATATCTCACATTGCTGCCAGGCAGGAAAAAAAACTTGGATGAAGTTGCTCTGAAGCCTGTGTGGGATGTTCCTGAAAATCCTCAGAGTTAGCAGTCACACGTAACAAACTGAAAAGTCCCATGTTTGGCACTCCAGCTTGCTCGCATACACATCCTGCTGCCCCCTAACCTCCCCATCAGGCTGACCTGCACAAATCCTCTCGAAATGCTTCTGCAGCAGCTCACTGCCCTTTTACAGGTCATCTGTTTTCACAGCCTTCCAGCCATTCACTCTTCACTTTCAGAAGCTGTCGCTGTTACCCAGATCGCAGCTATTATCCATCATGCAAAACTGAAAGGCCAAATTTCGCAGGCTGGAACAGGACAGCAGCTCACATCATCCACATGTTGAATGCCAAACAAGCAGGGTCACTGCCTTCCCTCATCTCCCATAACTGGGAGAGCTGTGTACAGCCACTCTTAATGCACGCTTCTGAGTGAGCTCCCTGGGTGAGGTGCTGTGTTGGAATCTCTGTGTTGGAATACTCACACAGCAGTATTAGCAGTGAATTAGCAGTCTGGCATTGAAACACAACAATCCCCTATTTTGTGCTGCTGTTGTGTTGGCATAGAATTCCTCCTATAGGTTTTAGAGAGGTTGGAAGAGAAATCAGGACCTTCAGACAGTTGCTGCAGGATATCAAAAGGAATAACAGGAATAGTACACGAGTTAAGTCTCAAGAAATGCAGAAGCATAGCTCTGAGGACTCACAGATCATCATTTTTAACAGTGCTGAAACACTGAGGTAGGCAGCACAAAGAATGAACCATCACCAGGCTGGAGGATGCAGTTACACGTGGGAGCCAAAAGGATGCCCCACAGCTCTTTAAAGGATAAAGCACATTCTCTGCTGTACACGAGAAATGAGGGACCTTTTATTTTTCCCTTTAATGATCAAGACTCATAACCATTTTCAAAATGTGAATGTTTTTGTTCACACAAACCACATCTTAAAGATCACGTTTTCCAGCCAACAGTTTTCCTTTGATGCCTGCTGAATGCAGGTAACTGAAGCCCATGTATGGAGTATAACTTACACCTTTGGTCGCAGAGCTGCATCCCCACAGAACACCTGAAGGAACGGAACGAAAACCCAATGGCTCTGATAAAAAACAAACAAACAATCAGAGAGTTCTGCTCTGAACCTGGGAGCACAGGGCGCTGTGCTGGAGCTCAAGGCTCTCCCTGCTTTAATGGGCACAATGCAGCCTGTGCTGCCACAGACAGCAGCTGCACAAAGCTCCTCTATGACACCGAAAGGATACCTTTCCTCTGCAAGAAAAAGGCAACAATTTCCCTTCTAAGCCACCTTCTCCCATTAAACTGCAACCTCTTCTGTCGATACCCTGTTAAGACAGCACTTGGCTTTTTAATATTTTGCCTGTAGGATATATGCCAACTTGTCCTTGATGTGGAAGATTTTAATTCAAATCAATACGTGTACAAGGTCACTTTAAAATTCAATTAATATGAATGAAAAAATATGCCCCACAGTTCTGTGAGCTGAAAATGGAACAGCTGCGAGTTAAATACTTCTGCAGCCTCTGTTTTGGTCTGTGTAAAAACAACGGGCTTCTCACTCGCTTTTAACTCAAGTGCACTGAATTCAGGCAGCAAAGTTTTCTGTAATGCCCCTGCTTCCCAAATCAGCAGGCACCAGACGAAGGTAGGACAGGCAGCTGACTGAAATCTGCAATATTATGCAGCTTTTCTGACAAAAATACAGGAAATAAAAATCTTGAAATATCCCAGTTTTAAAAATATTTTGTCTATCGCTAAGATAACTCTCAAAGAGCAGATGACAGATGCTGTATGCCAAGTCTGGGGGAGGGGAAACGGAATAATCAGTGAAAATGCTTCAGATAATTTCTTGTAAGGCTGCTAAAAACGTTCCCAGTTAGCACAGCTCACCAATTGGAGAAGAAAGAAATACCTTTCCAAATGAGTCAGTATCAGGGCCAAAACTAATCCGCAGAATGATAAGGATCAAAATCCATTTGCCATGCCAGAATTCTGCCTGGAAGAAATAGCTTGCCACACACCCCTTAATTTGGCCTTTTCATTGGAACGGATAGCAAATGAAAGGACCTTTTTAAAATGATTTTAAAAATGCATTAACAAACATTCTTTCTTCAGATTTATCTGAAAGTTTAATATTAGGAGAAAGTGTGCTGACAGCACTAAGCTCCAACACTTCACAGAACAATCCCAAAGCTCCAGATTTCCCCTCGGCATCCCAGGGAATTTGCTGCTGATTTGAGCTGCAGATGCTCTGCATTGCAGAGCTAAAAGAAAGACAACGTTATTTTCAGTTAACAGGGTACCTCCCTGCTAGTATAGAAAGGACCACGAGTTCGTATGAGGTTTTTAGTCACCTTTCAAAAGAACAAGGCAACATCAAAGCAGAGATGCAACCAAGCTGCACACGTTTCCAGCAAAAGGCCAGGCACCTGCTCCTCCTGGAACTGCCAGCCAGAAGCCTTTCCTCCCACTCCTACATCTATCTTACTAATCACTAGAATGGCTGGAAATCCTATTTATATGTACTGGAAAAGAAGGTTTTGTATTCACTACATAAATCAAACTGCCCCCCCAGAACCTTCAGCTAGGTTTTTTTTCCCTGTGTCTCATCTGCTGTATCAGTGCTGCACTTTCCCTCACATGCTCATTATTCTTTAATGATGCCTATTTGTAAATAGCAAGATAGGATGCAATTAAGCTATTAGAGTCTAAATAAACAACCATACTAATTAGTTCTTTACAAGGAATTTTTTCCTTTTTTTTTTTTTCTTCCCTCCTTATTTTAATGTAAGGGCTGGAATTTGACTTTCATTAATTGAACCTAATTGCAGTAGTGCACGATAAGAAGTTAACGTAGATAAAGGATTTAAATGATTTTGCCATATTAAGGATAAGCTGGTGATGCTCTCCTTTAGTGCCACGGCACTTCCTGCTAATAAAGCAAAGTGTCACACAGTGCTGTTGTGGCAGCCACACGAATGAATTGGTGATGCTGGACCAACACTGCCATGGGTAACAAAATGGATTTTGTCTCTTTCTATTCTGAATTACAGCACAGCAGGAACTTCACAGGGATGAAAATGGATCTGGACCTTGTAGAAAATGAAACTTCTTCAAAAAATAGAAAAATTCTTCTAACTTCAGGTCACAATTTGCAATTCTTCAACTCCTTCCAAGAGTAAGGTGCCTTGAACAAGAATTTTAATGGTCAAATAATCTCAGAATCCATTTTCCTCTGAGAAAATCATCATGATTTTATATAAAACACTGATAAACAATATTCAGACGTAAGAAGTTGTTCAGATTCAGTGAACAGACGTCTAGCCTATCTGCCATTAATACAGCCCACTTCCATACAATCAGACTGTTTAAAATGCTTGGAACAAGATTTGAAAGTTGAAACGCAAAATGCGTCTGATTTTACTGAGAATGAACAGAAACTGTGTAAAAATGCTTCATGTTTTTATAGGAGAGATCCACTAAAATTCTAAGCATCTGTATAAATGCATAAAATGCCTTCAGCATCAGAAAGTTTGTAAGATAACATGAAAACTAGAAATGGCAATTTCTGAAATGAGCTTTGCTTTGGAAGAAACAACTTTTCCAATGGAGAGTTGGTTACACAGAGCACTATGCTTCAGAAACAGCTCCAAATACAGAAAGCTATTCTTTATTTCTAAAAATATTCACCTGCTGTCTCTAACTTGGAGAGCAGTGACCTTACATAGCTTTATAAACACTGGGGAGACAAAGCTGCTGGAAGAGCAAGTGGCTCCTGGATCAAGATGAGCAGAAGTTGCTGTGTTTGCACAGGGCTGGCCAGGTACATGGCCCTACAGAAGTTCATATGGGACCAATACTTCCTGTGTTGTACAACATCCAAGGAATGAGTTGCAGGCATTAGAAGTTTCACACTGAAAAAGAGAGTCTTAACGCTGGTAACAGAAACAAGGTATTTGAAACAGCCATACAATGGCTGCACCATTAGAAATAAGTAGAGACTATCTAAGAATACAACTAACTATTTAATACCATCAAAACTGCAGGTATTTTGCATTAATTAAAAATCAATTTGTGTTTTCTTAACACAAGATGAGGTTTCTCTCTTTACAGCTCCTGGCAGTTGACCAACAAAATCTCACAAAAATCTTAAGAAAGCCTCAGTTCCCTCTGCTGCTGCTGCTGCAAATTAATTTTGCATAACACTGTTATTAAAGCTGATACAATTCTATGTTTAGTCTCTCTTATGCATAGCACGATTAAAAGATTAATAGAAAAATCACCAGTGAAGACTGGGATTAAACAGCACCTTGAAATGGTAAACTGCTTTTAAAGTCGGTTGAGGATTTCACACAGCTCTGAAAGGCTTCAATTATTTATGTTTGGTCTGTGCAGCATAAATCCAGACTAATGAGGTACAATTGCTGTGTATAAATCTCCAACACAAAGATCTCCTTATTGTCTGAGGAAGCAGCACCCTCCAAGGAGCAGCAGGCAGAAACCTTTCAATGCACAGCATTTGTGCTCACAGGAACACTTTCTTCACCCCCCCCCTTCCTTAAAGTTCTCAGCTTATTGCAGAGCTGTACTGTGCTGAGGGAGAGCCCAGCATCACGCAGAGGTGACCAACCCTGCGACTCAGACCAGCAGCTGCAATCACCTCTCTAGAAACATGCAGGACCTGAAAGCCCCACATCACAGCTAAGGACAGGACGTGATGTCCACGTGAATATGAAGATGGGCACCAATCAGTTTGGGACTGATATTTTCTGAATTAGGTTTCTTTTTCCCCATGGATGATTTTGCAGTCATTTCCAGTGATTCTGAAGTTTCAAAGAATCTCACAGCCCTGATCCTTCTTCCCCACCTCCTTCCAATAGTTTGCACATTCTTAACATACATATCTGCTTATCAGTGCCTTTGATGACGAATGTGTGTGCTTCTGGAAAACCACAGGGCTGGGTTTAAAGGTATCTTAATATAACAACAATGCCTCTATGGTAAAGATCTTCACAAGCAATGGCAGGTATGATACAGACACTGCACAAATGAAACTGGTTCACATTATGGTTGGTTAATTATCTCTGGACAAACTGCATACGGTCGTGAAATATTTTTAAACAAAACAAGCATTATCTGAATCCTTTGGCATTATGGTAAATCACTGCTGTGGAAGAGCAGCTCCACATCTAACTTGGGATGAGTTCAGAGTGAGAAACGACACGTTCTGCAGAAACCCCCCTTCTTCTGGGGGAGGTGCTCTTCACACTGCCCATCCTGCAGCACCTTTCGCTGAATGATTTGTGGCTGAAAACAGCAAAAGCTTCTGCAGCAGTCGGGGCCAGATGGAAAGTGCCATATTGGCAACACCAACTGAGACAGATGGGAAAGAGGGAAAACCTGCCTAAAAGAAAAAATGATAAACCCATCACAAAATCACATGCAAAAATACTTTAAAAACAGTGGTTTTGATCTCTGATCCAAGGAAGATATGCAATCCATTGGCTCATTGCAGTGCTGTTGTCCTTGATTTAGAGACCAATGTTATTTGGTAAGTTATCACTAAATGCAAATGAGGCTTCTTTTACAGTTACCATTTTCCCAATGCACCTTGCTCCCAACCAGCTTTATCCAAGGTAACTCACACAATTTCCCAGTTGTGCCCAGTTCTTGAAAAGTATCACGTTTTCTGACCTCAAAAAAGCCATCAGAATAGGAAGGCAATTACTGGGTGCAGAGAGGGACTCCAAGAGGATGGAAATGGTTTCCAAGCAAGGAAGTAAAATGAGACTTTTTCTTTTCTACAGTGAAACAGTTCAACATAAAGTCAGCTGAACAGCAAATGCAAAAGCTTCTACAGAGCTTAGGACGGCACTGATGAATTCAGTTCTTTTATGGAATATGTTGTTCCACTTGGTGAATCCAACAATTGCAGATGAAATGATTTAATGCCAGCGGAAGCCAGCTGTATATTTTAACCTCTGACTCAATTAATCCCTGGCGAATTTTAGGCTACTCAAAGAAAGTTAATATTAAGATGCTAAAGAATTGATAAATTAAAATGGAATGTAACCACAGCTACACTTATTATTGAGACATTTATAGTATTTTTGAAAAATACAGGCAAAATCTAAAAATATCAAAGTCGTCAATTTAACAAACGCTAAAAAAAACATAAATTCTTGATTCAAGAAAGCTGTTTTGACAAAATATCTGATTTCTAGATTTCTTTTACCATTTGCTTGGAAACAACAACTGTACTCACACATGCACTACAACCAAGCCTTTTGTAGCAGCTTATGTGAGGATGTGCCACGAACGATCTGAGATGGAAAAGACGGATTTGGTCCCACGTTTTCACTCGGATGTGGAATTTTCCACTTTCATTTAAAAGCTGTCAAAAGATTCGACTTCAGTCTTTTACTCTGCTGCAGGAGAATCAGCTTCCCAGTGCCATGCTGTAAGAGCTCAGCAGCCCCTGTTGCTGTGCTGCTGTCCTGGAGTCGAAACTTTACAGACTCGTCTCCTTCTCTCAGCACAACAGCTGCCTGTGAGAACTGATGTGAACAACAGGCTCCTCTGGAATGAAATCTTGCTTGGTCAGGCAGAAATAAGTCGAATGTATTGGACCTGTTTATCTATAATCCAGCCTTTACTGCTCATTTACTTCAAAGGCAAATTCTTGACTTCATCATAAAACAGAAATTCATTGGACCAAGAGCAATTTGAACAAATTTAGACAAAGGAAACCAATACAGTTTCTCTCTTCCTTACCCTTACTTCTTTTTCTTCTTCACCACCATGACTGAGATACACTCATTGCCAAGACTGCTGAAAAACACAGCATCTGACCTAACGCTCAGATTTCAACAATCTTATTTAACAACAAAAAGCATTTAAGGGTGAAATTCTTTTTATCATCTATTTGCCCAAAAGCAAAAGAGATCTTACACTGCTGGGTCAAACGAAGAGCAGCATGTTTCTGGGAAAAAAATAATCTTTAATAGCCTGCCTTTTAGAAATAGCAATTAAGTCCCTTAAGAAATCCATCTGAAAGGACAAAACGACCCAACTCACCAGCAGCATTGCAGAGGTCCCATTGGGCCGGGAGAGCTGGATAGACATCTCAGGAAACATCCTGTCAATGCGATTGATCACGTCATCGACGTACCTGCCGAACAACACAACAGTCACACACACCTCCCTGCCACAGACTTGCAGATTATTACTTATTTTTAATGTCCAGAGGATTTCTTTGAATGACTTTAATTATCTTTGATACAGACAAGATAGCGAATACGTACAGAATAAAAGTATGGGAATAAAAAGGAACGGACTGACCTTGAACACAGGCAAACTATGAGCTACACCCAGGTGGATGTTGCACATACTAATTACTTCAAAACAGATATTAAAATATAAAAACACACAGCATTTTCAAAAAGCAGAAGATGGGATACAAGCAAATATGGGTTTCTGTTTAAGAGAAAAGCACTTTTGCAGAGCATTTTTAAATGGAGCCAGATATCCTTTATTAGGTAACATGAACGTCTGCAAAGGTTTCCAACAAAACACAGGACACAATTTGTCAGGCAACCTCCCCAGGGATGTTTTGCCCATCAGAGCTGTGGGACACCCAGATCAACTGTCCTGCTTACTCACAGAATGATAAAACCCAGCAAAACCTCTCCCACCCCAGAAAGCTGAGTCAAAACCTTAATCTGCACTTCTAATTGAGCAGAAAAGTTTCCCCATTCATTTGAATGACTCATTAACAGCCTGTTTGCTAATAAGCAGACAGAATATCCATAAACCAAGATCTCAGTGTGGTGAAGGAGACTCTTATGAGTGCTTCAGGACGAGTAATCTACACATCAGAGATCAACAGTACACACCTAATTTTAAACACTACCAAATCCCAAATCTCTTGTGTGTGAATGGAGATGTCTGACTGAGATGCTGGTGAAAAGCAATTCTGTGTTTCTCCATTAGAATATGGCTAGGAGCTACCTCACAACCTTGGACGTTTTAATGCAAATTATTGCAGTACTTAACTTTTCTGAGTTTGGGATGATAATTTAAAAACAAATAAAATAGGAAGTTGCACATCATAAAACAAAAGACAAAGCCCACATGCATTAAGGAAGAAAAACTCAAGTAACTTGACATCACAGAAACAACACTGCGGACTTTGGCATTTTATCTGCTTGTATCTCTCTGGAAAACCCCAGTGGCTATGTACATTTATCCTTTAAAAAGATCCAGGTTGGTTGGAGGTGATGAATTCTTCAACTCTCTCTTAGACCCAATCATTTTTAAATGCAAAACTTGCCTTGACTGCATGCCTTCAAGCTATGCTCAAAGCCAACCACCATCACGTGCCACCGGAGCAGGAGAAACAGATCCTTCCTTTTCTCTCAGAAAAGATTGGTGTCAGGCAGAACAGGGAGCTCTGGGCTTCTCAACAGCACTGCCTTGGAATAAACCCACACGTAAAGCTATGCAATTAGGTCAAAAGTTGATATAAAAATAGAGATCTGAAGACATCTGTTCACATTAACTCAAAATGAAGTTCTACCAAAAGCCGATTACTAAGATATTGGGGTTTAGAACTGGTTTTGTAATGCTCAGGAAAACCAATCCAAAAGAACCAACCCAAGAAAAAAATAAACAAAGGAAATCCATGTTACTTGGGCAAGGCACAGCTATGGGGTCCATGCCCACCAGTGGCCTTTTCCTTCCTTTCTCAGTCAAGAGAATCCAGAGGAAATCCACAAGCCCTTTGCTTTTATTTAAAAGCAGACATCAGTGCTTCCTGAGGACGCATCAGACCAGAAGGGTTCTTTAAGGATTCACATCTAATCACTGAGTTAGTCTGACTACACGATGGCCTCAACTACAAAATGACATCCAACCTAATGCACAGCAAAGCTCTTCTAGGGCTATGCCCTTCAGAGAGCATGTCAGGTAAAACACCCTGCTAAGTGTGGTTAGGCTGAGGTTGGACTTGATGATCTTGAAGGTCTTTTCCAACCTGAGCGATTCTGAGATTCTGTGATCGGTGCAATAAGCGAGAAGCAGCACGGCAGTGTAGAAGGATAACTGGTGACAACTGCAGGGCAAACTGAAGAGCATACAATGAAGATGAGACACAGTGCATTCCCGAGGCTGTCTGCAAAGAAGGTCATAGAAAAAGCTGCTGTCTGGAACTTCTTTTGCAGAACTGAAATGCATTAATTTAGTGCCAAAATAAGAGCAATCACAATTTACACATCTCTATCCAGCAAGTTACAGCTCAAAAATATGACGGCTCCTATTTATGTTACAGAACTTTTTGCAGACTCTCAGAAAAGTGTAGCACTTAAGAAGAGAAGCTTAATTTTACTTCTGCTATGAGCACTTCCAACGTATCACCACGTCTCAGTTCTCTCCTACTTACAAAAGACGCTGGTTGGAATGAGCATTCACAGACACAAGTAGTAACAGAGCAGGGAAAAGCACATGGAAATAGATCTGCTGAAATCTCAGGCATACCTTACGAAAAAAAATACAGTGAACTCTCAGAATTACAGACAAGGTGAAATTATATGGCAGTAAATTCCCCTCTCGCCCTACAACAGCCGGGTTTCCTGGGTTTGTTGCATCTTCTCCATCCCATTTGCCTTATCCTTCTTTCCCTCATGACACAGATTCATGTTTTTGACGGAGGTTTTAAAATTACTTTTGAACAGAAAATCTTTATTTTAAAATGATAAATAGTACCAATCAGTGGCATGCAACTGCATGTGCAACTGAACCCTGTCCAGTAAGATGAGAGCTGACATCAGAGATCCTCCAAGGCTGTCAATGCCGTAAACTGTTATTTTAATGCAGTAGGGTACTTTCTTGTATAAACATGCTATATTAATACTGCAGAGGTCAAATGAAGCAATCTACTCCAAGAACACCAGCAAAGACTGGAACAAATTCTGAATGTTATTCTCCAAATGAAAGCTTTCTTTGTTATGAACACGTACGGTAAAACAATGCTAGAATAAAGCAGCAGAGACATTCTCTGAAAGCTTGGCAGCAGGCTCACATGTAAATCCTTTGGTCCATATTACAAGAACGATGTCTGGAAGCAACAGAAAAAACTTTTGAAGCCAGTTATAAAATACTGGTTAGAAGGGACTAATTAGCTAAGCAAGCCAGATGAGATGCTGCACGCCAACACATCAGGTTGACAACACAAAAATAATTCAGGAACTGTCTTCGCAGGCAGACACCTTTTGATTCACACCTAGGCCTCCCATAATATGAAAAACTAATTCATTGTAAAATGCCTTTAATTCCATACTGGACAGATGGCTTGGTTCTGTGATGTGACCTCTCTCTCTATATCTGCTTTTTTATTTTTTTAATTTTTACTGGATCAGATCCAGTGATCCAACGTTAGTGTGATGTTTAGCAGCTTAGACAAGATTTAAATAGCATTCATCCCACACAGTATTTCACTTTCATGCTGTTCATTTTTTCCACTCAATATTACTGTTTGAAAATTAGAAATATAGCAGTTTGTAACCAATTTTGGAGGAGATCTTTCAAAAGAAGAACATTTTGCTAAATGATTTCAGAGAGGTGTCTGCAATGCAATGGAGCTTCACCATTCCTGAATCGCTGAGTGGAAAACACTGTATGGGATGAAGAGCAGCTCTTGATTCTGTTCAGTCTGTGATTCGAGGTATTCTGGACAGCAAAAGGGGAAACTCTCCACACATTCCATCGCTTACTAGCACTGCAAGTGCTTGTCAGTGCTCCCAAACTTTCAGGGAGGGTTTTTTGTTACCATTTAAATCAGAGCTAATAATTTCTTCTTATACATAAATGGCTTTCAGATAAATTGATTGGATATTATATTTTAAAACATAGTCACAGTTCTAGCGTGATTTATTAACCACAGAATTAAAGTTTTAATTTAATTCAGCCACCTGCTGAGCCAGTCTCCGCAGGTAGCAAATTCAAGTTGATAGAAGGCTTTTGAGAAGCATCAATTAACAATAGTTATTAAAACAGTGACCTCTGTCAGCTTTTGTGAAATGACACTTCCTGCTTGGGTAGGCGACGAAGAGCATGAAAAGGAATTCAACAACTCTCACGCTGAGAAAGCAACATCATGCCTCAAGACATCTCATCAGGCAGCTGTCACAGCCCATGATATCTATAGACCAACCTGGAAATTTCTGCCTCTTTCCCCACATTCCACAGTTGATATGTTGCTATTTCAGGCTCTTGCTCTTCCAACTAGAAATTCTAAAAATGCCCGTGTTTCCTGACACTAGCACTGCAGGCATTTGCCTGCTTTGACCACCTTCTACCCAGCTAAAAACTCCCTTGTCAGGCAACCTTGTCTTACAGCTGCACCACCAGCCTCTCACGGTCTAAACGAACTGCTTTAGTGGTTTCTTCTCCCTTCTCTCATCCAAAAACAAAGTTTCTGTTGGTGAGGACTCCAGCCAGGCTCCTCACTGTACTCACTATGCTTCCCTCTGTTCTTTCATCATCTGCACACAAACTCTCTGTTCTGCTTCTCCTTTAATGCCTCCAATTCCTGCTGCGAAATCTTTATTCATGACAGGTTGTAAAGGAAAAGCATTAAGTTACTCAACTAAGAAACTTCTACTGTGAAGTATACTGAAGGCAGAAGAGGCAAACCTGAAATTGGAGTTATGGTTCTTCTGCCTCGGGGTGGCAACATGTGGCTGGCACGAGGGGTGCTGGCATGGCAGCATCTTGGGAGAGCGACTCCACAAGTGGGGGATGCAGCAAGCCAGGAGGAGTGGATTGGAAAGAGCAAATCTGCTGAGATGTCCTGGACAACAATTCATGCCCAACCCAGCCTCAGTATGGGGAAATGAGACTGCATGCACCTGAAAGCAAAAAGCTCCAAAGCTGAGAGAAGGAAGCTCACCACTGATGTCAGCAAGTTAGCTGTTCAGCTAACTGGTATCATCTGTGCTAGGAATCTTATTCTAGTCACAAAGAATGACGTTTCAATACTGAGTGGATGCAAAAGATTAAGTCACGCCATGCGCCCAAATAGTCCAAAAGTGTTTATATATAAATACAGGGCAGTCTGCTCCAAAAGCACATGCATGCAGAGCTGCATCCAACCCTTAACCATCTGCACTTCTC